ATTCTGACTTATTTTGAAACATAGAATAAACAGAATTTGCTGATAGACTGGATAAGTGATACGAGGGAAAGAGAAAAGCAAAAGGATGACTGCAAGATTTTTGCCTGATTAAGAAGACTGTGTGAAAGAGCAGCTTTGGGGGAGACAGTCCAGTTTTGTGGCTTTGTAGACATCTTATTGTTTTGTGGCATCATATTGTTTTGTATTTTTTACTTTCAGCAATATATATTCAACATCCTTCCAATTCAGTTCTAGGCACTGTTTTGTGTCAGTACCTACAGATATATACTGCATTTCTTTTGACAGGTATCTCTAATTAATTTTTTTACTTGAAAAACACAGTTTTGGCCGGGCGCTGTGGCTCACGCCTGTAATCCCAGCACTTTGGGAGGCTGAGGCGGGTGGGTCACCTGAGGTCAGGAGTTTGAGACTAGCCTGGCCAACATGGTGAAACCCCATCGCTACTAAAAATACAAAAATTAGTCAGGCATGGTGGCACGTGCCTGGAATCCCAGCTACTTGGTAGGCTGAGGTATGAGAATCACTTGAACCCAGGAGGCAGAGGTTGCAGTGAGCCAAGATCATGCCACTGCATCCCAGCCTGGGTGACAGAGCAAGACTCTATCTCAAACAAACAAACAAAAAAACACATGTTTGTAAGACATGACTTTACAGTGTCATGTTTACAGACACTGTAAAGGAAATACTTTACAAATATTAACTCGCTTAATCCTAATAATCAACTTCGATGTACTGTTACTATTCCTCATTTACAAGTAAGGACACTTAGGCCCAGAGAAGTTAACTTTCCCAAAGTTGCATAACAAAGAAGTAGCAAAGCCACTGCATTGTACTCTATCACTGTACTCTTGTCACAGTTCGCTTATCCAATCTCCTAATCACAAATTTGAGAGTGGTTCCAATTTGGAGGTTATAAGATATGTTGCATAGGACACCCATTTTAATATCTTCAGGCATTGGTGCAAGTGTCTGTTGAACAAATAAGAATAGTTATTCTGGGCTGGGCGTGGTGGCTCACACCTGTAATCCTAGCACTTTGGGAGGCTGAGGTGGATGGATCACTTGCGGTCAGGAGTTCGAGACCAGCCTGGACAACATAGTGAAACCCTATCTCTATTAAAAATAGAAAAAATTAGCTGAGCGTGGTGGTGTGTGCTTGTCTGTAGTCCCAGGTACTCGAGAGGCTGAGGCACGAGAATTGCTTGATCCCAGGAGGCAGAGGTTGCAGTGAGCCGGGTACTCCAGCCTGGGCCATGGAGTGAGACTTTGTCTTTTTATTAAAAAAAAAAAAAATACTGTATCAAAGCTTCAAGGAAGGACATTATCTCGTTCTTTTTTCCTTTGAGACAGTGTTTCCCCTCTGTCGCCCATGCTGGAGTGCTATGATGATGCAATCATGGCTCACTACAACCCCTGCCTCCCGGGCTCAAGCGATTCTCATGCCTCAGCCTCCTGAGTAGCTGGAATTACAGGTGCATGCCATCACACCTGGCTAATTTTTGTATTTTTGGTAGAGATGGGGTTTTGCCACATTTGCCAGACTAGTCTCAAACTCCTGGCCTCAAGTGATATGCCCACCTCGGCCTCCCAAAGTGCTGGGAGGTCTGCCTGCCTTGGCCTCCCAAAGTGCTGGGATTACAGGCCATGAGCCACTGTATCCAGCCTCGTTCTTCTCTTTTTCTTTCTTTCTTTTCAAGATGGAGTCTGGCTCTGTTACCCAGGCTGGAGTGCAGCGGTGCAATCTCAGCTCGCTGCAATCTCCGCCTCCCAGGTTCAAGCAGTTCTCCTACCTCAGCATCCTGAGTGGTTGGGATTACAGGTGCATCCCCCCCCCACACCCAGCTAAGTTTTGTATTTTTAGTAGAGATGGGGTTTCACCATGTTGACCAGGCTGTTCTCGAACTTCTGACCTTGTGATCCGCCCACCTCGGCCTCCCAAAGTGCTGGGATTACAGGCGTGAGCCACCACATTTTCTTTATGTAGTCTGTTCGGTAACATTTTTGTTCTCTCTCTGAGAATACTAAAGTCAGAGCAACAAAGGTTGTTTGTTATGGTTCCGAATAGTTTGTTTAAATCCCATTCTACTTGAATTCATAGCCGTTGTTGGATAACATAAGGAAGAATGAGTATTCAAGCAGAGGAAAGTGCCTGTGTGAATGGATGCCCATTGTGTTTGAACTGAGGTGGGCTGGGGCTGTACAGACATAAATACATCAGATCACTAACTCCTCCCCAGAGGTAACTACTATCCTGACTTCTAACATTTCAGATTAGTTTTGTGTTGTCTTTGAATTTTGTATTCGTTTGTTTCTGCTTCTTTCCTTCAACATCATATTTGTGCTATTGGTCTATGATGTTGTGTGTGGCAATAATTTGTATATTCACATTATACAGTATTCCAGTACATGAATATTTATCCATTCTACTCTTGATGGACAGTTGGGTTGTTTTCAGACTGTGCTTCTTTGAACATTGTTTTAAATGCCTTTCGGTGAACAAATATATAGGCTTTCTAGCAATGACATTGTTTTATCATAGGGTTGGCAAACATTCAACTTAATTAAATCTTGTCAAACAGTTTTCAAATTGGGCATACCAAGTTCCAGCGTGTGAAACCATATACCACAGTTTATGAAAATTCCAGGAGTTCCACATCCGTACTAGCACTTGGTGTATTGGGTTTTTCATTGTAGCCATTCAGAAGCATGGTGGTGTTGCATGTTGGTTTTAACGTGCATCTCCCTGACTTGGGTACACATTTTGCTTGGCAGTTTGATTCCTTTGTGTCCAAGTATCTGTGAATGGGTTGTTTCCGTAAGAACAGAGGAAGTTTTTGTTTGAAGCATACTCCCCTCTGCGCAAAGTGAAATCTTAAAGTAAACTCCAATATACAAAACAGATTAAAAGGAGTATTTGCTGAGAAGCAGTATAGCATGGGAATTGAGAACACAGATTCTGGAGCCAGATTCTGATAGGAATCCTTGCTTTACCATTTCCTATCTGTGTGACTTTGGGCAAGTTCCTTAGCTCCTATTTGCTTCGGTTTCCTCATCTCTACCATGGATGTAATAATAATACTTTTATCATAAGGTTAAGTTAGGCTCAAATAAGTTAGTTTATATGCAGTTCTTAGGACTGTATGGTACATAATAAGCACTTGATATTGTTGGCTGCTGTTAATAGTGGCGGTGTTGGTGATATAAATTTATTTATGAATTTATATCATTAGCTGACAGGAATAATAAGGCTCTACTATTGAGCACAAATTTGAAATTGAGGGTTATGAATGATAGTTGGATTTTATTTTAGCCTCAGCATCCAATTTTTGTTTTTGTCGCACATTATCAATAAAAGAATGATTCAAAAAGATGAACAGTTGAAAATAGGTATGGTTTGTCCAGTAGTCTCAGAATTCCTTTAAGCTTTTAATCAGCTTAAATGATAAGAAGTAATAGAAAGTGTTTATTTTGAAATTATTAAATATCCATAATTTGCTTGGATTTCCTATTGTTAAATAAAAATCGTAGAATTAAATTTATTTTAAAAATTAATTTATGGTTTTGTCATCTATTATTTTATCACAACACATCTGCATAATAAATTTGCTTATTATCGCTTTCAGCCAAAGGATAAGATGAGCAGCAGATGTACTCAACATTTGCGTGGCATGATAAAATGTGCTCCGTGGGTACTGTAGTGTGTGTTTACTCTATGGTGCAAATGTAATAAGCCAACGACACATAGGCTTGAATTAGAAACAAATCAAAACAAAGAGAGCTACAGTTTTCCTAATCACATATTTTCAAGATATTTAAACAAATTATGGTAAGTAAAGGTACACAAACCCAAAATGAATTTTCTTGGCAGCACAAGCTATGTTTTGTTTGGTGTCTGGTGTGTTAATATTAGGAGGCATATAGAACATTCATATATCTGCTGTCGGAGTATTAGTTCATATTAGTTCCTTCTACAGCTGTCCTCCACAATCACCAGTTGTAGATTACACACAGCCTTGCCTGTTTGCAGCCAGCTGACCCTTAAACCCAGGGAACATTTTCAACTATGCCAAGGCTTTCCAACAGACATATATGAGTACCTTGACAAACTCCTCTAGCACTAGCTTTATTTCTCCCCAGACTGTCTCCCACTGCTCCTTAGCCAAGTATGGGCTCCTCCAGTCTGGCCAGTCTCCCCTCTGCCTCACCACCACCCTCTGCCTCACCACTGGCATGGTTTTGTGTTCCCTTCTCTGTAGTAACAGTATCAGGAATGCTCTCATTACCTTCTGTCTTGAGTACTGTAATTTCATCCTTTGTGGTTCTGTGTGGATACCACCTCCTCCCTGAATCATTCCTCTTTGCTATCAGTTATTCTTTCCTGTGGAATCCTGTCCTGACATTCTGTACCTCAGGATCTATTAATAAAACTTTTTTTTTTTTTTTAATATCCTAAAGTTGTACTCTGTAAGCACTACCTCAAGTCAGTGCCACTCACAAAACCCATCAGCAGAGGGAGCTAAATAAAAGAAGATGAGTCCCTGAAATTGAGAAGACCTGAAGCCAAAAAAGTACTTATAAACAATCAACTTTCGCAAACTGCCAGTGCTAAAAAAAGAGCTTGAGTAGTGTAGGAAATAAATGATTTGGGCCATAATCCCAGTTTAAAACTTTGATGAGGTGATTTGTGTTTTTGAAAGAGTTAATTCTGTATCATGTTAAAAAAAAAAAAAAAACTGTTTAGGGGGATGACCTGATAAATATAGGAATATTAGAGAACCAATCTAATGTATTCCCCTTGTCTGAAAGTCTTAATTATTAAGGATGATGAAATGAGGTCACTACTTTGTGAAGACTTGCATATGGAACACTGAGTCTGAAAGTTGCTAAGGATTATGGATAGCCCGTTCTAAGTTTAAACATGTACTATTTCAAGTAAATTTCTTATTTTGTTTTGATCAAGTGTATGTATTTAATTTCAGTTAGCAGACTTGAAGAAAGAGAAGCAGAACTGAAGAAGGAATATAATGCATTACATCAAAGACACACTGAGGTGGGTTTCTAGGTTTTTCATTACAATACTATTATTGAGACAAAGAAATGAACCTTAGAAAACATGTCTTAATTTTTCTTTGAAAATCAGAATTTTTAAAAAAAGAATAATTCTTGGGGATTCTTTCAAGAAAACATTAAGTTTCATGTGACATTTACCTAGTTACCAAATGTCAACTTTTCTTGTTTTTTTCTGGAATTAGCTTTTCATGTGGTGAATTAGTATGCTGCAGAATAATTTAGTTATTTGAGGCAGCTATAGTACTTGTTTCCTTGGCTGGCTAAGCAAAAACCTATGTGTACATAATGAAGTTTCTGTGATGCTAAGATGAGAGAACTGAATTGTTTTGTTACCAGCTTGGAAATTATGGATTGGTAAGTTATTGGTAAAGGGTCTCTATGTTTGTTATCCAGTGTAAAGGACTTATTTGCATTAAGCTCATAACAAATAATATAAGCACAAATTATAATGTGTTAAATCAAAATAACTCAAAAGTAGGTTTTTTGCATGAGTTTTCAGTATTTTAAATTAACAGTTTCAGCACACAATCTCCTCAAAGGAAATTAGAAAATGTACTTGAGGAGTGAACAGGCAAACTACAGAATGGGAGAAAATTTTTGCAATCTAGTCGTCTGACAAAGGGCTAATATCCAGAACTACAAAGAACTCAAACAAATTTACAAGAAAAAAACGAACAACCCCATCAAAAAGTGGGCAAAGGATATGAACAGACACTTCTCAAAAGAAGACATTTATGCAGCCAACAGACACATGAAAAAATGCTCAGCATCACTGGCCATCAGAGAAATGCAAATCAAAACCACAATGAGATACCATCTCATACCAGTTAGAATGGCGATCATTAAAAAGTCAGGAGACAGCAGGTGCTGGAGAGGATGTGGAAAAGTAGGAACACTTTTACACTGTTGGTGGGACTGTAAACTGTTCAACCATTGTGGAAGGCAGTGTGGCGATTCCTCAAGGATCTAGAACTAGAAATACTGTATGACCCAGCCATCGCATTACTGGGTATATACCCAAAGGATTTTAAATCATGCTGCTATAAAGACACATGCACACATATGTTTATTGTGGCACTATTCACAATAGCAGAGACTTGGAACCAACCCAAATGTCCATCAATGACAGACTGGATTAAGAAAATGTGGCACATATACACTATGGAATACTGTGCAGCCATAAAAAAGGATGAGTTCATGTCCTTTGTAGGGACATGGATGCAGCTGGAAATCATCATTCTCAGCAAACTATCGCAAGAACAGAAAACCAAACACCGCATGTTCTCGCTCATAGGTGGGAATTGAACAATGAGAACACTTGGACACAGGAAAGGGAACATCACACACTGGGGCCTGTTGGGGGTTGGGGGGTGGGTGTTGGGAGGAGGGATAGCATTAGTAGATATACCTAATGTAAATAATGAGTTAATGGGTCTAGCACACCAACATGGCACATGTATACATATGTAACAAACCTGCACGTTATGCACACATACCCTAAAACATGAAGTATAATAATGAAACAAATAAATAAATAAAAGAAAATGTACTTGAGGGTTTTTAAACCTTTTCATGATTCCCTGTCAGCCTCTCATGTTGCTTTTGTTTCTATTATCTTAATGTGAAAATTATTTTTGTATATCATGGTCAGTATGGGGTTCACATACCCAAATAAGTAGAATTTTTATAGCTTTATGCAATATTTGTTACATGAAAAAAAATTTCTCTTTTTTTTCCCCTCACTAGTCCTGTATTTCCTATAATACTTATGGTTCCAGTCTTAGCCCGTTTTTTTTTTTTTTTTTTCTTTTCCCTAGTTTGTGTGATCTCTTACTCTGCGTCTGGTAGAAACTATGTTGTTGTTTTTCTTTAGAAGAGCATAAAAACCTTCATAATCATAAAACAATTTAAAATCATGTTTTGGAGAATATCCACACAGATTGTATTCTGTGTACAGTAAGCATATTAATGCTACAAAGATTGTATTTACATTATTGTATTGTAGCTATATTCTGTTGCTTTTGTGTGTGTGTGTGTGTGTGTGTGTGTGTGTGTGTGTGTGTCAGTGTGTCAGAGTCTTGCTCTGTTGTCCAAGCTGGAGTACAGTGGCAAGATCTCAGCTCACTGCAACCATCACCTCCTGGGTTCCAGCGATTCTTGTCCCTCAGCCTCCCGAGTAGCTGGGATTACAGGTGTGTGCCACCATACCTGGCTAACTTTTATATTTTTAATGCAGTAGAGATGAGGTTTCTCCATGTTGGCCAGGCTGGTCTTGAGCTCCTGACCTCAGGCAATCCACCTGCCTCAGCCTCCCAAAGTGCTGGCATTACAGGTGTGAGCCGGTGTGCCCAGATGTTGCTGTTTGTTTGTTTATTTGTTTATTTTAAAAAATGTTTTAATACTGGCCATTGCTTTTAAGGAACAGAAAACCACACCACACTCAGTTGCGTTTGCGCTTGAATAATGTGGTTAGCACTTGCTTGGGGTACGGTGTAGAATTTTTCCCTGTTAGCCTTGACACATGAGATTTGATTATTACAATCTTCGCTTAATAACGATACCCAAAGCATGAAATGTCACAGAATTGATATCCAGTAGTAGATGGAAAGGATGGTCCATGAAGGACTGGAACTATAGAACTCAGGGAAGACAAGAGCAGGTTATACAGCAGCTGTTTCAGTGTGTAAAAAATACCCACATTTTGGCTGGGAGCAGTGGCTCATCCTGTAATCCCAGCACTTTGGGAGGCCAAGGTGAGCGGATCACTTGAGCCCAGGAGTTTGAGACCAGCCTGGGCAGCATGGTGAAACCCCGACTCTACCAAAAAAAATATATACAAAAATTAGTCAGGCATGGTGGTCTGCGCCTGTAGTCCCAGCTATTCAGGGGGCTGAAGTGGGAGGATCACTTCAGCACAGGAGGTAGGGGCTACAGTGAGCCAATATTGTGCCACTGCACTCCAGCCTGGGCAACAGACCCTGTTTCAAAAAAAAAAAAAAAAAAAAAAAAAAGCCCTCACAGATGAATGACATTTGTTAGATATTAAGGTTTAATTTTGGTGGATATTAAAATTTAATGACATTTGGTGGATATTAAGGTTGCTAAGCCTATCATTGATTTTTACACCATTCATTTCAATGCCTAAACAATGTGCTCTATGTACTGTTCACTTAAGTAGTACTTATTAAAGCTGATAATAATAAATACATATATGTTTTATGTATCTATAGAGAGAGAGTCTTTTTTTCTTTAATTAGACAGGGTCTCACTCTATTCCCCAGGCTGGAGTGCATTGGCTCAGTCATAGCACACTGCAGCCTCAACCTCCCAGGCTCAAGCAATCCTCCCACCTCAGCTTCCTAAGTAGCTGGGACCACAACATGCATGCCTTTTTTTTTTTTTTTTTTTTTTGAGATGGGGTCTCGTTCTGTCCCCCAGGCTGGAGTGCAGTGGTGTGATCTCAGCTCGCTGCAACCTCTGTCTCCTGGGTTCAAGCAATTCTCCTGCCTCAGCCTCCTGAGTAGCTAGGATTATAGGAGCGTGCCACCACGCCTGGCTAATTTTCGTATTTTTAGTAGAGGTGGGATTTTCCCACGTTAGTCAGGCTGGTCTCGAACTTCTGACCTCATGATTGTTAAATTATGATGTATTGAAGTATAAAATATAAAATATATACTTTTTTTTTTCTTTTTTGAGGCTGGGTCTTGCTCTGTCATCCAGGCTGGAGTGATCTTGGCTCACTGAAGCCTGCGCCCTCCGAGTTCAAGTAATTCTCCCACCTCAACCTCCCAAGTAGCTGGGATTACAGGAGTGCACCACCACCACACCCGGCTAATTTTTGCATTTTTTGTAGAGGTGGGATTTCACCATGTTGGCCAGCCCGATCTCAAACTCCTGACCTCAGGTCATCCACCCACCTTGGCCTCCCAAAGTGCTGGGATTATAGGTGTGAGCCACCATGCCTGGGCTGAAATATATACATTCTTGAAAAATAACTGTAAAGTGAAATTTCATATTTTTTCCGTATATTTAATAAAGGTGAAGATATGCATCTATAAAAAAGCCTGACATACTAATTTTAAATGAAAACATATAATTTTTTTTTGGTCTATTTCTATTCCTTGAGGAAAAGATAGTCTAGGAAGAAAACAAGATCTCAGGAAAAATTTTAATTACCAAGTCAGAGAGCTAGGTCTGTCCAGTAACCAAGGCAGGTTTCCCATGCTGCCCAAAAGCTCTTTTCATAGATCTCTTCCCTCAGTTATGAGCAGCTTCTATCCTCTGACCTGATAGGCTCCTCCCTATATTTTGTTTTGCCTCAAGGAAGGAAGGTTTATGTAACATGGATAGGGCTGCTTTGAAATGTGGATCTATTCTGCTCTAACCCACAATTTTTTCTGTTTATACATCTGTTCTAGAGATGTCATTCAATTAGCAATTATAAATAGCTATCTAAAGCCAAAGAACTAGGCGCCCTTAAAACATAAACTCTGAAAACGTTCAGGGAAAGGAAGCCTGAAGGGGTTTAACCTTAACCTTTTCACTATTACTTCCAAGGAAGGTAATGTCTTTTAATAGTTGTTTAGCACTTTTATGAAACACATTCGTTGTTGCTTAAGGGAAACCTGCCGTGGCCTTTTCTGATTTGATTTAAGAATAACTATTCTTAAATTTAAGAATAAGTAGTCAACTATTTTTAAATCAAATTTTTGTATACATTACTGAATTTGCTTAAAAGAAGATATGCCTTAAAGAGGGCAGTGGAAGAAATATAAAGGACAATTTTGAAGCACTCGGGCCCACGTGTGTATGCTAATCACCAAAAACTTTAGCCCTTTGGAATCTTGGGAGAGCCTCAAATCAGGGAGTGTTTGAATGCATTCTCATTTTATCCTCTGACCAAATTCTCATCCATTCCTGTTTTACAGATTGAGGTTTAGAAAGAGTCTATGAAATGATTTGCCCCAAATTCTACTGGTG